GAGAGAGGAGGGGGAGGGGTCAGAGGGGGCACGGGGGGGCACAGAGACCCGCCGGGTGCCCCCAGGTGTGCCCAGGTGTGCCCAGGTCCCTCCCAGGTGTGCCCGGCCCCACCCCCAGGTGTGTCCCAGGTACCCCCAGGTGTGCCCAGGTGTGCCCAGGTATCCCCAGGTGTGCCCAGGTATCCCCAGGTGCCCCCCAGTTGTGCCCAGGTGTGCCCAGGTCCCTCCCAGGTGTGCCCAGGTGTGCCTAGTCCCACCCCCAGGTGTGTCCCAGGTACCCCCAGGTGTGCCCAGGTGTCTCTAGGTTTCCCAGGTCCCTCCCAGGTGCCCCCAGGTGTGCCCAGGAACCCCCAGGTGTGCCCAGGTCCCTCCCAGGTGCTCCCAGGTGTGCCCAGGTGCTCCCAGCTGTCCCCAGGAGCCCCCAGGTCCCTCCCAGGTGTGCCCAGGTGCCTCCCAGGTGTCTCTAGGTTTCTTCCAGGTGCCCCCAGGTGTGCCCAGGAACCCCCAGGTGTGCCCAGGTCCCTCCCAGGAGCCCCCAGGTCCCTCCCAGGTGTGCCCAGGTGTGCCCAGGTGTGCCCAGGTGCCCCAGGCGCCCCGTGCCCACCCTGGCGCCACATCTCCTCGCGCACGGCCTGCAGCCCGCCCTGGCGCTCGATGAAGTCGTGGATCAGGCGCGAGGTCTCGGCGTCGGCCAAGTGGCGCTCGCTGACCCCGGCCTGGGCGAAGAGGGACCACAGGGCGGGGTCCAGGGCGGCCAGCTGGGGACAGGGACACCCCGCGGGGTCAGTGTCACACCCCACGGGGTCAGTGTCACCCCACAGGGTCACTGTCACCCTACACAGGGTCAGTGTCACACCCCGCGGGGTCACTGTCACCCCACGGGGTCAGTGTCACACCCCACGGGGTCAGTGTCACCCCTCAGGGTCACTGTCACCTTACACAGGGTCACTGTCACCCTACACAGGGTCAGTGTCACACCCCGCGGGGTCACTGTCACCCCACGGGGTCAGTGTCACCCCACAGGGTCAGTGTCACCCCATGGGACAAGAGGGACCGCAGGGCAGGGTCCAGGGCGGCCAGCTGGGGACAGGGACACGGTGAGGGGACAGGGACACCCCGCGGGGTCAGAGTCACACCCCGCAGGGTCAGTGTCACCCCCCACGGGGTCAGTGTCACCCCACACAGGGTCAGTGTCACCCCACGGGGTCAGTGTCACCTTACACAGGGTCAGTGTCACCCCACGGGGTCAGTGTCACCCCATGGGGACCCTGGCCTGGGCAAAGAGTGACCGCAGGGCAGAGTGACCACAGGCGGGGTCCAGGGCGGCCAGCTGGGGNGGTCAGTGTCACCCCATGGGGACCCTGGCCTGGGCAAAGAGTGACCGCAGGGCAGAGTGACCACAGGCGGGGTCCAGGGCGGCCAGCTGGGGACAGGGACACGGTGAGGGGACAGGGACACCCCGCGGGGTCACTGTCACCCTACGGGGTCAGTGTCACCCCACGGGGTCAGTGTCACACCCCACGGGGTCAGTGTCACCCCACAGGGTCACTGTCACCCCACACAGGGTCAGTGTCATCCCTCGGGTCACTGTCACCCTGCACGGGATCGTTGTCACCCCTCAGGGTCACTGTCACCCCACAGGGTCAGTGTCACCCCACACAGGGTCAGTGTCACCCCTCGGGTCACTGTCACCAGGGTCAGTGTCATCCCTCGGGTCACTGTCACCCTGCACGGGATCGCTGTCACCCCACACAGGGTCCCTGTCACCCCTCAGGGTCACTGTCACCAGGGTCAGTGTCACCCCACAGGGTCAGTGTCACCCCACACAGGGTCAGTGTCACCCCTCGGGTCACTGTCACCCCTCGGGTCACTGTCACCCCTCACAGGGTCACTGTCACCCCTCGGGTCACTGTCACCCCTCACAGGGTCACTGTCACCCCTCGGGTCACTGTCACCCTGCACGGGATTGCTGTCACCCCTCGGGTCCCTGTCACCCCCCTTGGGTCACTCTCACCCCTCGGGTCCCTGTCACCCCACACAGGGTCAGTGTCACCCCTCAGGGTCCCTGTCACCCTGCACGGGATCGCTGTCACCCCACACAGGGTCAGTGTCACCCCTCAGGGTCACTGTCACCCCTCACAGGGTCGCTGTCACCCCTCGGGTCACTGTCACCCTGCACGGGATCGCTGTCACCCCTCGGGTCACTGTCACCAGGGTCAGTGTCACCCCACAGGGTCAGTGTCACCCCACACAGGGTCACTGTCACCCCACACAGGGTCACTGTCACCCCTCGGGTCACTGTCACCCCTCACAGGGTCCCTGTCACCCTGCACGGGATCGCTGTCACCCCAGGGTCACCCCATGGGGACCCCGGGCCAGGCCCAGGGATGCCACCTGGGCAGGGACATCTGTCACCCCCCGTGGGGTCACCCCGGGGTCACTGTCACCCCCGTGGGGGGAGGTGTCACCCACATCGAAGCCACCACTGGGGTCCCACCCGATGTGACCGACGTGCCTGGAGGGGGAGGGGAGAGCGGTGAGACCCCCGCGACCCCCCGGAACCCCCCAGACCCCAAAATCCCCCTGGAGACCCCCTGAAACCTCCCAAGA